CCCGCCCCGCCCCCCCCCCACCCCCGCCAGCCCACCGCAAAAAAAATTAAGAAATGCAGCTAGAACTTTGCTTGCCAAACTAGAAGCTTAAAATTTAGGCAGTTCCCCACTTGACATCTTCTGCTTTCCTAGCAAAATATGACACAAGGTCATCTGTCAACGTGAAACCTATGACTCCACGGCCTGTGATCTGAGGTCACCATTTTCGGAAAAGAAGTGGAGCAGAAAAAAAAAAAGCAGCCAACTCACCAGACTGGGTTAAGGGGCTCATTCTGTGGGCAGCTTCTGAGCACTTTCAGCACATGGATCACATAAAGAAAACATGTGAGGGAGTTGATACAAGAAAAGGAAACAGTGCGGTCAGAAATTTTAATGAAATATTTTTTTAAAGGGGGGTGGGAGGGGCCAGAGAGATGTCTCAAAGTACTGGAGACATGCTTTGCATAAAGGAGCCCTGAATTCCATCCCCAGCACCAGACGGTTCCCTGAGCACTTCAGAGCGCAACCCCAAGCACAGAGCCTGGAACACTTTAGATGTGCCCCCTAAAATGTCTTAAAAATAAAAACGGGATCTGAGAGATTGTATAGCAGGCGAGGCACTTGCATTGCATGTTGCTGACCCAGGTCTCCTGAGCACCACCAGGAGTGATCCCTGTGAACGCTGGGTGTGGCCTTCCATGTAGATAAAGAAAAAATATTTTACATAAAAAGAGGGGCCGAAGAAATAGTTCACACGAGATGCTTATCTTGCATGTGGCTGACCTGGATTTGATCCCTGGATCCCCAGAGCACTGTCAGGAGTAATAAGCCCTGCGCATAGCCAGGTGTGCCCTGAAACCAGTAATATAGCACTGGCCTCCCACTGTTCATCGATTTGCTCAAGCGGGCACCAGTAACGTCTCCATTGTGAGACTTGTTGTTACTGTTTTTGGCATATCGAATATGCCACGGGGAGCTTGCCAGGCTTTGCCGTGCAGGCGGGATACTCTCAGGAGCTTGCCGGGCTCTCGGAGAGGGAAAGGAATCAAACCTGGGTCGGCCACGTGCAAGGCAAACGCCCTACCCACTGCGCTATCGCCAGAAACCAGTAATAGTAATAAAAATACTTTTCTTTAATAAAGAAAGGGACCAGGGAACCGCTGAAATGCTGGAGCATACACTTTGCATGCAGGAATGCTAGGGTCCTCTTCCTGGTCCCTGAGCACTGCTGGAAGTGATTCTCCAAGCTTCACACCAAGAGCAGCCCCCTGAGGAGAAGGCAGCTGGAATAGAGAAGGGATCACTAAGGAAAAGATGGCTGGAGGAATCCGTCGGGATGGGAGATGTGTGCAGAAAGTAGATAAAGGAACAAACATGATAACCTCTCAGGGTCTGTACTGCAAACCATAATGCCTCAAAATAGAGAGAGATTATGGGAAATCATGTCTGCCATGAAGGCAGGAGGAGGGTGGGAAAGGGGGGGAGTATACCGGGGATATTGGTGGTGGGGAATGTGCACTGGTGGAGGGATGGGCGTTTGATCATTGTGTGATTGTAACCCAAACATGAAAGCTTGTAACTTTCTCATGGTGATCCAATAAAATAAAAAAAATTAAAAAAATTAAAAAAAAAAGAGTAGCTCCCCTGAGTACTGCAGTATGCCCCCAAATCCGAAAATCAACCAACAAAACCCTGATGCAAATAAAGAACAAGAAGACTAGGAGGAGGGGGAAAGATTTTCGAGGGCATGAGATGTGAGCAGGGCATGAAAAGGGAAAAAATGGTGGGAGAAAGGGGAAGTGAGTCATGGTGGTTCGGGAAGGAGGAGGGGATAGGAAGGTGGTGGTAGATTCTGGGGGATCCTGCAGAAATGCCCTTTTGTCTTCCAGTCCAGACCTGGCAGCTTCTCTGACTTTGTAATTGGTTCTGTTTCTATTAGTCTCTTAGATAGGACCAACTTTGTAATACTTGTGGAGGGGGTCCGACACATCCTTAGCTTCTGTGGGGGAAATCCGAGTGAATCAGCCTTTCAGCGGTTCCCTGGTTCCTTTATTAAAGAAAAGTATTTTTTTATCACTATTACTGGTTTCGTCCCTCTCGGGCATCTCGGCAAGCAACCGAGAGTATCCCGCCTGCACAGCAGAGCCTGGCAAGCTAGCCGTGATGTATTCGATATGCCAAAAACAGTAACTATAACAGACTTCATTTCCCTGACCCTGAACGAGCCCCCAATATGGCAGCGTTGGGAAGGACGAGTAAGGAGAGGCTGCTAAAATCTCAGGACTGGGACGGATGGAGACATTACTGGTGACCACTCGAGCAAACTGATGATCAACCGAATGACAGTGATACTGTGATTCTCTTATGAGCAAGTATGAGTTGCCAGGAGCCCATTCTGAGGTCTGATTTGTATTTATTCTTAGGTTCAAAAAATTCAGTTCCCTTTTTCAAATATCCAACCTACTAGAATTTTTGACTTAATTTTTTCCCCCGTGGGGGATTCCCTATCTATGGTATGAAGTCCAGGGGTCCCTCTTGGCAATCCTCAGCCAGGCAGTGTGGGTCTCATCCTCAGATGCTTGGCTTCTTGGTTCTGGGGATGGCAGGGCTGTATCTGGTAGTGCCAGATGTAAAGGTGGAGAGCATATGGCCCAAAGGATCAAATTTAGGGCATGCGAAACATTCAGTCCACTGCTCTGAGCTTTCTTCCTAGACATTTTTTGTTTTGTTTTGTGGTCACACCTAGCAATGTTCTGGGACTTCTCCTGGCTCTGTGCTTAACCCTTGGCGGTATCTGGGAGAGTCAGGGATTGAATAAACCAGTGTTGGTCACATGCAAGGCAAGCACCTCAACCCCTGTAGTATCTCCCCACCCCCTTCAAACCTCCTCCTCCCCAAACAGTTTTTAATTCCATGAATGTTTAACCAAGTAAATTTGAACTTAACTGAACTGAGGGCAAAAAAATGACTCACTAATCTGTCAAATGACACATTTGTCCCCAAATATTTTGCTACCATTATTTTCTAAGGAAGATTGTTGGAAATACACTGGAAAATTATTATTTACAAAGGGTGTACCACTCTCTTAAAAAAATGTACCAATTCTATAGCTTAAAAGTGTTTTAGTTGACCTTGAGAGGAACAAAAATAAACCAATCACAACAAAAAGATAGCAAGCAAGCTAGTAAGCTCTATGAACAAATAATGGAAGAGTGGATAAAAGAAAAAAGTGATAATTCATTCTAGATTACAATTTGTCTTTCAACCTTTTTATGATTGCCAATGTTATTTTGTGTGTATGTGTGTGTGTGTTTCATACAAGCTGTTTCTTAATTTTGGGTTCTCCCTTTCTTTTCCTTCCTCTTTAAAAATTGTGTTCTTTGGGCCAACAGCTAGAGGTGGTGCTCAGGGACCATTTGAACCCAAGGAGAGAAACTGAGTCTCCTGAACAAAAAGAGTACATGCCTAGTCTCCTGAACTATGTCTCCAGTCCTCTTTTTTTTTTCCTTGAGGGAAAGAGAACGTCTTTTCATATAAAAATGTTTTTTAAAAATTTAAATGTGTAGAATTCATGCGTTAGTGCAATGACGGAGAGAATGCTAAAGTGGTCTTCATTAAAATGAACTAAGAGAAAAAAAAGGAAAAAAAAAAAGAAACTAATGACACAGACTTGACTTTTGCTTTTCTCTGTATCACAGTCAAGAGGTAAGCATTCTAAAAGAGTTTCATCACTGTCAAACCAGTGGAAAGTTATGATGTAAGCCCAGAGCTTGTAGTGCATTTTTGGGGCCAGTAGTAGCTTAGTATGCTTCCTATTTATTACTGTTTTAGGGTTACACCCAGATGTGCTCCGCGCTTTTGACTCCTGGCTCTGTATTTCAGGGATCATTCCCGTGGGTGGGTGGGGGAGCGGGAAAGCCTCAGGGTCAGCCCAGCACAAGGGAAGCGCTTGCCTACTCTTGCTCCGCCCCCCTTTTCTCCAGTTTTTAAAAACCCAAAGGGGGTGGGGAGGCTGGAGGGATAGCACAGCAGGTAGGGCGTTTGCCTTGCACGCCACTGACCGGGGTTCGATTCCTAGCATCCCATAGGGTCCCCTGAGCATCGCCAGGTGTAATTCCTTAGTGCATGAGCCAGGAGTAACCCCTGAGCATTGCTGGGTGTGACCCAAAAAGAAAAAAAAATCCCTAGTTCATGTTGCTTTGGTTCTGATACCTCCAACATCATCATTGCTATTAAGACTGTCATGATTTTGGGGCTGGAGCAATAGCACAGTGGGTAGAGTGTCTTGCACGCGGCCGACCCTGGTTCGATTCCCAGCATCCCATTAGGGTCCCCTGAGCACCGCCAGGAGTAATTCCTGAGTGCATGAGCCAGGAGTAACCCCTGTGCATCGCCGAGTGTGATGCAAAAAAAAAAAAAAAGACTGTCATGATTTTGCCTAATAGCCAGCGATATAATATACCTGGGCCGTCTCCTGTATAGGATGGTCCAAGCAGGGGGCTCTACAATTCCGTTTCAGTTGGAATTCGGCCTGGAAGGAGCTTTCCCCCGCGCCCCCCCCCACTTCCGACGCCGAGAGGGGGAGGGGATGCAGGTGGGCGCGGGAGGGTGCCAGACCCACACGCTGCAATCACTGCTCACCTCGGGAGCGTGTCCTGCACCCAGCCTCAGTGTCCCCCCTCTATCTAGCCCCCACCTCGCACCCTGGGATCTGCCTAAGGCCCGGGCCTGGGAGGGGGTGGGGGAATCTCAGCTCCCCGGCCTTATTCGGGAGACACCACAGAGCCACGCCGAGTTCTGGTTCTGGGTCTTGGTGCTGGTCCCTGGCGGCTCCGACACGGCTCAGAAGCTCTTCCCGGGTGCAGCCGCTTTCCGGGCGTCGTTTCCGGTCAGGGCCCGGCCCGGCCTCCTCATCCCCCAGGCCACGCGGCGCCCGGACGGCGGCCATTCGGGAGGGCGCCGGAAGCGCCGCGCACTTCCGGTTCCGGTCCCGCCCCCTCGCTCTGTCGCGCGCGCATCCGGCCACTTCCGGTCGCCGGGCTTCCGCCGCGGCCGCTACCTGTCCGCGCTGCCGCCGCCGCCGCCGCTCCGGCCGCGCTCCAGGTGAGGGGGGACCCGGGCCCCCCGCCCCGCGGCCGTTGGGACTCGGGGGTCCCCCGCACCCTGATAGTCCTCGCGGGCGGCCCCGCGGCGGCCCGGGGGCCGGCGGGGCTGCGTGAGTGGCCGGCGGCCGCGCAGCCGGGCCTGCGGCGGGCGCGCCAGTGTCCAGGGGGCTCCTCCCTCCCCCCCCGCGGGGGGGCCTGGCCTGGCCACCCCCGTGGACGCTCTCCCGACTTCCCGACCCTCTTGGACTTGTCTCCTGCCGTCCAGTCCACCTTCCGGCCTCCCCTCCCCTCCGAGGCTGCTGCTGACCAGGCGCTGGCCCCACGCTCCGGCCCCCCCGGAGTGGACAGCGCTTGCGAGGGAGCATCGGGGCGGGAGGAGGGGTGGGGGTCTCCCACGTGGGCGGCCGTCTTGCTTTTCCAGCCCCGTGTCCTCCGTTGCGTGCCCCCCAATCCCCCTCGGGCGAGCAGGTTGAACCCTGAATGACTTCCTGAGTGGTTTTGTGTGTTTTGGGGTTTTTTTTTTTGCATTTTTCCGGATTCAAATGGCACCTGGTCGGCATGTTGTCACGCCCCCATAGCGAATCAAAGACTTGATTGCGATGAGCATGTTGGCATCACTCTCAATCGCCACTTGGTGCTTGCTCCTTTTTGGTTTGGTGTTTTTATTATTATTGTCATCATTATTATTATGGGGGGGCGCGTCTGACTCCTGGCTCGAGGCTCAAGGGGTCCCTCCGGGTGGGCCTCCAAAGTCCTTCTGGGGGCTCAAGCCTTGGCTGACCATGTGTAGGGCAAGTGCCAGTTCCCTCTATACTGTCTCTCCAGCCCCAATACTTGCTCCTTTTTTTTTGGGGGGGGGATGTTGGAGCATCACATCAGCGATGCTCAGGGCTGACTCCTGGCTCTGCACTCAGGAATCACTCCTGGTGGTGCTCGGGGGACCTTATGGGATGCCGAGGATGGAGCCCAGGTTGGCTGTGTGCAAGGCAATCGCCCTCCCCGCTGGACTGTCACCCCGGCCCCCCAATATTTGTTCTTCTATACATCGCAAGTTTCTTTGTTCGTTTGTCTCTCTCCTGGTCCAGGACACAGAAACTCCCCTCCCTCCTTCCAGGGATTGATGAAGCTGCGACCCCAGCCCCTATCCCCACCCCACCCAGACAGATGACTGTTTTCTTAGTCCTTGGATTCCCCTTATTGACTACTCCTTGGGCATGAGTTTGAGTTTGGTGGCCGTGTTCTGAAACTCCCAGTTTTCCATCTGGCTGGAACCTGAAAAACACATACATTCATACGCAGGTGCAGTTGGCATGAGAAAGCAGCCGAGATGTGGGTTCTGTGTCACTGTGCCCTTAGGAGCCCCACCCCCGTGTAGGTGACAACTGGTGCTGGTGTTTGCTGGGGCCCATTCATTCGGTCTGGCACGTGCTCTCTAACTGCAGAGGAAACTCGCAGCAGAGGCTCTTGATCTTTCCCAGGCATCCAGGAGAAGGACTAGGAGTGTTGAAACATGAATTGCCCTGGTCCCTTTCTCTCCAGCCCCAGTTGTGTTTTCTAACAACGCTTTGCCGCTACCGGTCATAACCTGTACTGTCAGCACTGTTGGTTGCATCCTTAACCTCTTGTAAACGTCTCGTATTCTGCATGCCTGCAGAATATGAAGAAATTGTTTCAGCTACTTCCTTTGGACTGGGGAAAGTCCTTTTGAGCTTTTTATTGAGCATTGCAATATTGTTGGAGCAAGTTCTCAGAATTGGAATGCATTTTAATGCAGTTTCTTTTTTTTTTTTTTTTTGGAACATGCTATAAACTTAAAATGCTTATTTTTCACAGTCTGGTCCATTGAAAACACTTTTCCAAATTATTTTCTGACTTACTTTTGCAGATGGATTAAAAACTTTTTGTTATTTTTTGGGGGGGCACCCCTGGTGGTGCTGGGGGATGCTCCTTGCGCAGTGCTGAGGGGACCATGCGTGTCAAGCATTAAACCCTGGGCTTTCTGCATGCAAAACGTGTGCACAGCCTGTTGAACTATGTCCAGTCCCTGAATTCAAAATTTACCTTCCTTCTTACAGTTGGTCTTAATACTGTGAAGAGTCCAGTAAAACATTTAATTGAGTGTGGTATTTGGAATTACGAGGACATTGAGATGAGAAGATCCAGCTCTCTGCCGGGTGTGGGCGGTGAGCTTGTGTAGACCGGTGGGAAGCTGTCTAGGCGAGGCCTTCTTGCTGCCCCAGGCCCGCAGCAGTGTGTCATCTTGGCTGTTTGTAGCTGGATTTGTGGGCCTTACTGATCTCCAGCTCCCAAGCGCCTGTAGGTCCTATTCAAGAGAGCCGGGGGCTCGGGCAGTCAGGAGGCCTTTCAGGTTAGCTGATGTGCCCTCGAGTAGGGGAATTCCTGGTTCCTAACTCGTGAGGGCTGTGCTTGTACAGTCTTCATAAGTGGAGCTGCATAAAAACTGTTCAGCTTGTTAAACATGAAACAAAAAATGGCTATTTACTAGCATAGATCAACTTTCAGGGTTTTTTTTTATTTAAAAAAAAACAATATTTATGACTTACACATCTTAGAGAATTTAATCCTTCTGAGAAACCTCAGAAGCAGGTATACTATTTTTTTTCTTTTTTGGTCACACCCAGCAATGCACAGGGGTTACTCCTGGCTCTGTGCTCAGGAATTACCCCTGGCGGTGCTCAGGGGACCACATGGGATGCTGGGAATCGAACCCGGGTCGGCCGCGTGCAAGGCAAATGCCCTACCCGCTGTGCTATTACTCCAGCCCCTATACTATCTCTTTCTTTCTTTCTTTCTTTCTTTCTTTCTTTCTTTCTTTCTTCTTTTTTACAGATGAGCAAGCTTAGCTTGAATGAATCCAAAGATAAAAAACTGCTGGGGCTGGAGCAATAGCACAGCGGGTAGGGCGTTTGCCTTGCACGCAGCCAACCTGGGTTCGATCCCCAGCATCCCATATGGTCCCCCGAGCACCATCAGTGGTAATTCCTGAGTGCAGAGCTAGGCGTAAACCCCTCTGCATCGCCGGGTGTGACCCAAAAAGCAAAAAAAAAAAAAGTTGCTAAGTCAGGAGGCTTGGGGTCAGAAGCCTCGAGCTGGGCCCTTAGAGTTTGTGTTCTTGAGGGCTCGGCATGCACTGCTTGTCCGGTGTCCAGTGACCGTGGGTGATCCCGGATGCCCCAAGGAGTTGTTAGCCTAAGCCTGCAGAGGATATCGGAGAGGGGGCTCATGGTCGTAGCTTCCTGGTTGAGCGGGATCGGACGGAGTCTTGATAAGGACACACTATGCCAAAGCTTGGGCCATTTTTGCCGCGTTCTCTCTCCTTACCAGCCAGATGTCAAAACATACCTTGGGACGCACGCTGTGTAAAAACAACAGACCTGGGTCCATCTTTCATGTATTCTAATTTGTCACTGTGTTTTCATCCTCCTCTCCAGGCGTTCTTTTCCCTCCTGAAGGAAAGCTGCCTCGTCCCATGCTTCAGGGATGGCGCTCCCTATCATCGTGAAGTGGGGCGGGCAGGAATACTCAGTGACGACGCTTTCAGAAGACGACACCGTGCTGGATCTCAAACAGTTTCTCAAAACGCTTACCGGAGTGTTACCGGAACGCCAGAAGCTACTTGGGCTCAAAGTTAAAGGTAAGACTCTTAGCCCCAAGTTGGATTCCTCACATTTGTAGGTTGTTGGTCGGTTGGGGATTTTGGGGTGGAGGGGGGAGTAGCGGGGGTATGATCTGATTTTCTAGCTTCTAAGTCTTATCCCCCCCGGCGTTTTCTTTGACAGATTCCTAAATCTTTTATGGTGAACGTGAGATTTTAAAGTTCACTTGAAAATACCACCACTAGTAAAGGTTACTTTTCAGTATTGTTTACTTTAGAAGTTGGACGCAAGTCCCAGGTTAAACAAGGTGATTTGTTCCCCGACCCCTGCCTTCCAGCACCACCTTTGCATTATAGCTCAGGCCTTGTTTTCTCCCAGATTACCTTTTCTGCTCCGAAAGAAAAGGTGATTTTAAAATTAATTCGCAACGCTCATCTGAACACATTCTCAGAGTGGCTTAGGTGGTGCTTTCTGTATCATTAACGGGTGAGTTTTAAGAAGCCGCAAAGCTTCAGTTTTGGCACTCCGTAGTCAAGGCTTCCCGGGAACAGCAAAATCAAAACAAGGCATGCATTATTTTTGTTTAGTTAGTTGAGAAGGGCTTTCTTCTAAGGTGGAGTTGGGGCAAAAACAGACCCTGTCTTTACTTGCTACTTCTTGGTGGGTTAAACACTAGTCCAGCGGCAACTGTTCGTTTAAGGAAGAAAATCTGAAATTGCTGTGGAGTCATGCTTGTTTTTTATGATAGGGTTTGGTCTACTGGGACAGGGAACTGGCGCCTGAACTTTAGTGAGAAAACAGTCATTTGCTTGTATTGTAGGCAAACCTGCAGAAAATGATGTTAAGCTTGGAGCTCTCAAACTGAAACCAAATACTAAAATCATGATGATGGGAACTCGAGAGGAGAGCTTGGTAAATGTTTACTTTTGTTACCATTTGTCCCTTTGAAGATATGATACAGTTGTTATGTCATCATTGTACTTGTAAAATTGTCACTTGAGCATTCAACAAAAAACTGCACAGGAAGGTGTTACTCAGCTGAAAACAAATATAGGCAACAAATACAGTCAGCTGTAAGCATAGTAAGTAATGCAGACAGTTCAGCTTAGCATGATAAGCCATGAGCAGAATGATTGAACACGTAACCGTTCCTAGCACGTGTGCTTAAGACACTTGAATGCATATGGTATCTCTCTTTTAATATTGCTCATGAATCTGTTAAAGATAATCCCATGCAACAAAGCCATTTTCTTCTTCATAGGAAGATGTCTTAGGCCCACCCCCTGACAATGATGACGTTGTCAACGACTTTGATATTGAAGATGAAGTCGTTGAAGTAGAAAATAGGTAAGAGCTTCTTCACTAGCAAAGGAGATGAGTTGTAATCTGAGAAAAAGTGGCGTCTTTTTTTCTCCTTTTTCTTTTTAAATTAGGGAAGAAAACCTATTGAAAATTTCTCGCAGAGTGAAAGAGTACAAAGTGGAAATATTGAACCCTCCCAGGGAAGGGAAGAAGCTGTTGGTGCTCGATGTGGACTACACGTTGTTCGGTGAGTCAGCGGGATTGATCCCCCGTTTCCCTTACCCACAGCAACTCTTCTGTTTTTCCTTTTTCTTTATTCTTTCCTTGCAACTTGGAGTTTGCATGAAACACCTGAAAGCTTTTCTTAATTAAAAAATTTACTGACTTGATAGCACAGCGGGTAGGGCGTTTGCCTTGCACGCAGCCAACATGGCCGACCCGAGTTCGATTCCTCCGCCCCTCTCGGAGAGCCCGGCAAGCTACCGAGAGTATTCGATATGCCAGACACAGTAACAACAAAGTCTCCAATGGAGACGTTACTGGGCCCGCTCGAGCAAATCGACGATCAACGGGAGGGCCTTTACCTTTACCTTTACATTGAAGAAAATGCAAGTCAGCATAATAAGAAGCCACCCATAGTCCTAGGCCCTGAGGGTGCCTGTAGCAGCAGGTCCTGACCCTGCTTGTAGCCACTCCTGAGCTGCCATGTGGCTTCCAGGCAGTGTTTGTATATGTCCTTTTCACTTGAACACAGTGAAACATTGGCTGGGACTCACAAGTACTGTGGGTTTTATTTTGTTTTGTTTCGTTTTGTTTTGATTTGCTTAAGTCACATAGTATTTTTGAGTACATCGTAATTTGATCATCAAGTGTTTGTGATCATTTACTTTTACAATTATTTGTATAGTTTTTTGTTCTTTTGTTTCCCATTTTGGGGCCATACCCAGTGGTGCTAGAGCGGGCACCTGGGCTGGAGCGATAGCATAGCGGTAGGGCGTTCGCCTTACAAGCGGCCAACATGGCCGACCCAAGTTCGATTCCTCCGCCCCTCTCGGAGAGCCCGGCAAGCTACCGAGAGTATTGGATATGCCAGACACAGTAACAACAAAGTCTCCAATGGAGACGTTACTGGGCCCGCTCGAGCAAATCGACGATCAACGGAAGGGCCTTTACTTTTACCTTTTACCCAGTGGTGCACAGAGCTAACTCCTGGCTCTGCACTCAGGAATCACTCCTGGCAATGATCGGGGGACCATTAGGGGTGCCAGTGATCGAACCCAGGTTGGCCACATGCAAGGCAAATAAATGCCCTCCCCGCTCTATTGCTCTGGCCCTGTTTACAGATAATGTTTAATATCTTGAGTTTTCTTTCCCTTTAACTGCGTTTGGGACTGGGGCGATGACTCCAAGGATTGGACCACATGCTTGGCATCATGTGTGGGAAGCCATGTTGGAGCCCCAGCGCATAGTTGCCTGAGCTCTGGCTGGGAGCAGCCTCTGTGCATTGCTTGGTGCCAGCCAGTAAACCCCCCCCACCCCACCCCCCACACACACACCCAGAGAAAGATCAGAGTAAGATTTTTCAAAATTATTTATTTTGCATTTTTTTCTTTTTACACTTTTAAGCAATATGGTTTATAAAACTTATTTTTTTGTATGTTACTTTTCTGTATATATAAAACTTGTAGCACTACACCACCAGTGGGTCTTGTGTGTATGTGTGTGTGTGTGTGTGTGTGTGTGTGTTTTCACAAGTGTACACATACACATGCACAATGTTTTTTTTTGTGTGTTGATAAAAAGCATCTTCTAATGTTACGAAGTCTGGGGCTAGAGAGATATTCAGCCACAGAGCCCCTGCCTTGTATACAGCCATCCTGAGTTTGATCCCCTGCATCTCACATTGTGCCCTGAAGCACCTCCAGGAGTGATTCCTGAGCACAGTGCCAGGAATCAGCCCTGAGCACCGCTGGGCATGGCCTGAAAGCGAAAAAGAAAGAAAACAATACTTGGTTAACAACTGCTACTAGAATGTACCTAGTTCTCTGTAATCCTAAACTTCAAATGTATATCTTGAGCTAACATACAGTTATTTTGAAATTTAGTTTTGTGCTTGTTCTGGGGACAACCCAGCTTCCAAATATGCCACATCAGTGACCTTCAATTGTGACATGTCCCCACCTAACACGTATTATTATTTATTATTGTTATTGTTGGGGCCTGTTGTGTTGATGAAATGTGATTGTTTCTGAAAGGTGAAAGGCTAAAAGTGAATAAAAGTGCCCTCACTTTTGTGTGTTTGTTTTTAATTTAATCTCCATGACAGCGTGAGATACACAGTTACAAAGCTGTGCATGATTGGGTTTCAGTCATACAATGTTCCAACACCTATCCCTCCAATGTGCATTTCCCACCAATTTCCCCCAGTTTCTTTCCCGATAGCAGCCTCCCCCTGCCCTCCCCCCCCCCCCCCCCCCCCCCCCCCACACACACACCCTCTCCATGGCAGGCACTTTTCTTCTCTATTTTTGGGCATTATAGTTTGCAACAGAGGTAATGAGAAGTTATTCTGTATATCCCTTTACCTGCTTTCAGCACACTGTTCTTATCCAGAGTGATTGTTTGCGACTATCTCGGTGGTCCCTTCTCTTTCCCAACTGTCTTTTCCCCTCAGCACTTGAGGCAGGCTTCCAGTTTTGTTCCCCTGGCCCTTGTTTCTACTGTCATTGGGTGTCAGTCTCATACTATGTTTTTTTGCATCACCCGAATGAGTGCAGTCATTCTGTCTGTTCCTCTCCTGACGCATTTCACTCAACACGATGCTGTCCATGCCCATCCATTTATAAGCGAATATCATGACTTCACTTTTCCTGGTAGCTGCGCAGTATCCCATTGTGAAGATGTACGTGTACCATAGCTTCTTTATCCTATTATCTGTTCTTGAGCACTCGGGTTGTTTCCAGTTTCTGGCTACTGTGAATAGTGCTTCAGTGAACATACAAGTGCAGATGGCTTTTCTGCAGTGTATTTTTGTGACCCCGGGGTATATTCTCAAGTGATATTGGTGCGTCATATTAAACTAAGAAGCGTCTACACCTCAAAAGAAATGGTGACCAAGATACAAAGACAGCCTGTGGAATGGGAAAAATTATTTACCCAATACCCATCTGATAAGGGGGTTAATATTTGAGCTATGTAAGGCACTGGTAGAACTTTACAAGAAAAAAACATCCAACCCCATCAAATAGTTGGGGAGAAGAAATGAGCATAAACTTCCTCAAAGAAGAAATTCAAATAGCCAAAAGGCACATGAAAAATGCTCTACATCACTAATCATCGGGGAGATGCAAATCAAAACCATGAGATACCATCTCACACCACAGAGACTGGCACACATCAAAAAGAACAAAACCAACCAGTTGCTGGCGCAGATGTGGGGAAAAAGAACTCTCATCCATTGCTGGTGGGAATGCCGACTGGTTCAGCCTTTTTGGAAAACAGTATGGGCATTCCTTCCAAAAACCCGCTTTGTTTTTATTACTTGAAAGTAACATCTGTCCTTTAGAGGGGAAATTAATGTATAGTTTGCTATATAAGCATGAATTCTGGGCATCCTCTTTAGAAATAAAGCAAAATTGATCAGTTAATTTGGTTCATGAAGATGTATCCTCTGCCAGTTTGAAAGATGTTTCTCTGCCAGTGTCCCTCAGTCTGAAGGAGTTAATGTATTGGGTATTTGTACTATTTCATGAATTTCACTGGTATTAAGGCTCATCTGTAATTATAGACTGTTGATAATCTGTGACTGATTTTCTCTTAGACCACAGGTCTTGTGCTGAGACTGGGGTAGAATTAATGCGGCCGTATCTTCATGAATTCCTAACATCTGCATATGAGGATTATGACATTGTTATTTGGTGTAAGCTCTATTTCTTATTTAGAATCTCATAGCTGTAAGATTTTCCTTCTGTTATTTGCTTTTTTAAAATGTGATTGAATATGACCTGTGTTTAAGTATGACAGGTTTTTCATTTAGCAAATTTATGATCAAGCATGTTTACTTTCTTTGCATGGCAGTATAAACTCAGAAACCTAATTAGAAAAAAAATTTAAGAGTGACCTCTTTATTATTATTAGAAAGTGATGTCTGAAGACCAATTGCAACCTTTTTAATTAACTGTGAGTCTTTTTGTGTGTCATTGAGGAATTACCCCCATATTGGTACTAAGATTAGATTTTTTATATCCATAACAAACTCTTGGTCCTATTCCATCTTTCTTGTTACTGTAGATTCCTCAGTCTCTAAAATTTTGGTTTTGTATGCAAGGCGGGTTTTTTTTTTTCTTTTTGTGTGCTAACGACAACTTGGGTACTTTTTGTCTTAAGTAAAGACATGCAGTCTATAAATAATTGAACCCCCGCCATTATTTTTTTGCTTCTGGGCCTCACTCCTGGGGGAGCCATTCCCAGCTCTGTGCTCGGAGGTGTCTCCCTGCAGTACTCAGGGGACGTGTGACGCCGGCTGTCAAGCAGGCCTCCTGCATGCAGAGTACGTGCTTAGCCCTCTGGGCTGTTTCTCCAGCCCCCATTTCCCTTTCCAAGGATTTAATTTGGTAATAGCTACATAGTTTATTCTTAGTAACTTGGGACCAGCAGAACCTGTAGTGCCGAGAAGAGAACTGAATTTTAATATTAGTGATTTCAAACCTGATACCGTCAGATATATCACATAGGTAGACTTACTAATGAATCTGGCTATTAAACGCTGCTAGATTGTCTGCAAGCGATCTGAAGCTAAGTTGCAGCCAGGTAGGGGTGGAGCCACCACTAGGCAAGAGTGTGAGCCCCTGCGAGCATCAAGCAGTGATCTATAGTACTTAAGAAAAATATTTTATAAAAAGCAGCTAGATTCAGGGAGCAGCGCTTTTGCCGAACCTGAAAAATTGCTGATTTCCACTTAGTTACCTTTCGCGTTAACTTGGCATATGACCTGAATCTGCCTCTGCTGACTTTCGGCGCATAGATGAGAATGAAGATAAGGCACCCTAAACTTCAGCGTAGAGCCGATGGAGAATAGCATCGGTGCTGCTTGGCAGAGGCATGTGGGTGTTGGTTTGAGGGCTGGAGAGAGCTGGACGTGTGCTTTGCCCTCGGTTCCTGACACCGTGTGTTTTCCCCAGAGCATGGCCGCAAGTGACCCCCAAGCACAGAACTTGGAGTTGACCCTGGGCATTATTGTGTGGGTGTGGCTGTCCCCCCAACCCTCCCCAAAGAAAGTGATTTTGAGCATCGGTTACTTTCATGTTTTGATTAAAGTTTAAATTTTGTTTTGAAGGCACTAAATTAATTTCTCTATGTACCATCAGTATGCTAGACATTAAGATTTGTGATGCCTTTGGACGTGAGGTCTTGCTTAGAAAACGTGACTGTTTTATACAGAAAATGTTTTTTTCCTATGAAATTTGAAATTTCCATATATATTGTATTTTTATCTTTATGTTTTAGCTGCAACAAATATGAAGTGGATTGAAGCTAAAATGAAAGTAAGTGTTAGAAAGCAGTTTAGTTAAGCATGGTTTGCAACTGTAATTTTCTCTCTAGAGGTCCAAATTATTTTCATTTCTCTTGGAAGCAATTAGGAGGTAATCAAATAGCAGTATTAGGGACAGTTTGCATTGAATACCTATATCTTTCTGAGGAAAAGAGTAGGGTAGAGCTCCCCTTCTTTTTCCCCATATTTTACAATGCTTTCTTTCCCTTCTCTTACCTGGGTGTGTAATCCTGAAAGAAGTACAGATCTCCTAGAGTAGGGAACTGGGAAGTCATCCTGCTTCTGGTTTCTTTTCTCTGGACTAACCTTTATTGACCGAGCAGCGGTTGAAACTTCTGAATTGTTGAGCAGGATTTGGAGGACAGTTGGCATTCTGGGGGAATTAATAGCAGAAGTGTTCAGAAAAATTGGAATCTCTCGCACTGTTTTACTTGAACCACAACAACGTTTGCTTTTTATAGGAACTAGGAGTGAGCACAAACGCCAACTATAAGATCACTTTCATGTTGGACAGTGCTGCCATGATAACGGTGCATACTCCACGCAGAGGACTCATAGACGTAAGAGGTCACTTTATTTCTGTTTAAAGACACGGTTATCTGGGGCCGGAGCAATAGTACAGCGGGTAGGGCGTTTGCCTTGTTCTGTCAGGAAAGGGTCTGGCTAATTGTCTCTCATGATGGCCACGCCGTGTTTCTGAGGAGAAGGGCGGTGGGGAATAGGCCAACGTCCTTAAGGAAGATGCAGGAAGATGCAAAGCCTAGCCTGCGTCCTGCGTGAATAGCAGATAAATGAGAACAGTGAGAGGGTGCGAGATGGTGCATGTACTTCTGGGGTAGTCCGCGCCGCGTGCCCCCCAGTCCGCGTGGGGCTTGTACAGGCCATTAGGAGTAAAGACATGAGAACCGCTCCTTGCTGTTTGAATTGGGGACAACTTTGCACACTGGAAACGTTTGGGGAGATTACACTGTAAACATTGAAGAGTGCAGGGATTACCTAAAATCTATATGAGAAATGCTGTGTACATTGGGGTTTAAAATGTATTACCTACTGACGTCGTACATTTACCAAATACAAGCAGTGAAACACTTGGGATATAGGAATATGTATTTATAGTCGTGAAGAGTTAGTGGAATAAAAAAGGTAAATCCTGGTGCTGGAGAGATGTTCTCTGACAGACAAGCATCCCCATGCGTCTGCGTGGGCCTGTCCGGAGTTCCCAGGCTGCGCCCCAGGTCCAGGTGCTGCCACTACAAGGTCCCCTAAAAGTGCTTGGCAGAAGTGACCCACAAGCACAAAGTTGGGAATAGCCCCGAATCACTGCCAGATGTGGCCCCCAAACTGAAATAAAGCCTTAATATGCAACAGAAGGAAATTGACTTTTTTCATGATACATCACGAAAGTAAAAGTATTTTGGGTGTCAGTGTTTGTAAACTGTTAGAAAACAGTTGCTGAATCTTGGTTCAGGGTTCCCTTTAGCAAAGGCCCTCTGGGCTGGAAGGAGACTGCAGCGAGTCGATCAGGAGTCAGTCCTGAGCACTGAGCACAGTCGCGTTGCCCAAACACTCTCTCCAACCCCCAGTATTTTAAAATCCTGTATCAAAAGCCTGGCACTTTGCCCATCACTCAAGTTTTCTAGTTTTAAAAAAGATCACAGGTGGCTTAAGATTATTTTATTGGGGGCCATAGGACCTGTGGCACTTGCCCTGTATGCGGCCAGCCAACCTAGGTTAGATTCTCAGCACCTCATATCACCCCTCAATCACCACCAGGAATGAGCCCTGAGCACAGAGGCAGGAGTCAGTCCTGAGCATCGCCCGGTGTGCCCCCCCCCCCAAAAAAAAAGGGAAAGGAGATTATCAGTGGGGGCTCCCTGGCAGGGCTTAGGGATTTGGGGGGCCAATTCTGGTGCTACTCAAGGCCAGCTGGCTGAAACCTAGGGGCGAGAGCCAAAGTCCAGTGGGGCGGGCGTTTGCCTTGCCAATCCAGATTCGATATCCGGCATTCCATAAGATCCGCCAAGCACCGCCAGGAGCGATTCCTGAGCATTGCCAGGTATGACCCAAAGCCAAAAAAATTAAGAAAAGTAAAGCTGGGGCTGAGTGAGAGTGCTCCTCGGGCCATGCAGTGACAAGGGCCACCAGGGCCACCGCAGCAGGGCAACAAGGCCATGCTGTGCAGTTATTGAACCAGGCTCCTGTGCGTCTGCGCCCTAATTCCTGTGCTATTGCCAGTCCCTAGATTCTTCCAAAATGTTATTCATTCGGCCTGGAACGATGGCACAGCAGGGAGGGTGTTTTCCTTGGACACGGGTGATCCAGGTTCTATCTCTGGCATCCCACATCGTCCCTCGAGCACAGGATCCTGAGTGCAGAGTCAGAAGGAACCCCTGAGCATTGAAGGGTGTGACCCCAAAAAACTAGCAAAAAAATATTTTTTTGATTCTAGGTCAAGATATTCCATATTGATGCCATGAGACATTTTATGAGGGAGATAGGCCGGGCCAGAGCCATAGTACAGCGGGGAGGGTGCTTGCCTTGCACGTGACCAACCCAGATTCCATCCCCGGCACCACAAATGGTTCCCTGATCCCGCCAGGAGTGATCCCTGAGCTCAGAGCCAGGAGTCAGCCCCGAGCACCACTCAGTGTGGCCCCCAAACACGAACGAGACACCGAGAGCCCCCTCAGCTGCTGACTCTGCAGGATGATTCCAGGAGGTCCCCTGGGCCCTGGCGGCTTCACATAGCGTCACCCCTAGCATTAGGGCAGTGCTGCTAGGTATCTTTTTAACAAAGTGGGTGAGCTGTTGATAAGGCTTGAGTTAATTCTAGACTTCTATTCTAAGGTAAAGCCTCTTGGTGTTATATGGGGAAAGTTTTCGGAGTTTTACAGCAAAAAAAACACCATTATGTTTGATGACATAGGAAGAAATTTTCTAATGAACCCGCAGAATGGACTCAAGGTAAGACCCAGTTTACTTGCTACTTACATGATTGCATGGTAGAGCTTTAAGCACTATTGAATTTCACAGAATTTCATAAGGACTGTGTTTGGGAACCGTAAGTACTTGAGTGAACTCCGGTGAACATGGACAGCCAGCAGTGCTCAGGGATGGCTCCCAGTCCACTGCTCGGGCGACTCCTGGCAGTGCCTCGGAGCGGTCCTAGGGATCCAGCCCTGCCCTTCTGCTGGTAGAGCGTTATTACATCCCACTGAGTGCGTTCCAGCCCGAGACAATTTCCGTTCTTGTGTTAAAATCACTGAAGAAAGTCCCTAAAAATCTGTAGGGTGCCACCCCTCAAAAATCTAAACCAGGAATGAAGCATTACAAGGTAGCCTCTCTCAACATGTTCCCCTTTAAAACCTCTTTTAAAGTCTTCTTGGGGCTGGAGCAATAGTACAGTAGGGAAGGTGTTTGCCTTGCACACAGCTGGATCCAGGTTCGAACCTCAGCACCCTCCCCAAGCCCACCAGGAATGATGTCTGAGCACAGAGCCAGGAGTAAGCCCTGAGCATTGCTGGGTGTGGCTCAAAAACCAAAAGAAGAAAAAAATCATTTCGTTAGTCCTTAATTCATAAAAATCTTTCTTTGGTGAGCGTGTGAGTCCCTCGGTTCAAACCAAGGACCTTGTATGTGAAAAGCATGTTTTTAACCACAGAGCAGCATAGCTGATCATGTATTTGATTGTATTTGAGCTGATGTCTTGAAGCCGGAAATACTCCATAGAGAGTGTACCGTAAAGTATACCATATAAAGTATAACATATTCTAAGTGCTCCTTTTAGCATATACCATAAAGAAGGCAGGTTAAAAAGGAGAGAGAGAACAAAAGGGAATGCCCTGCCACAGGGGTGGGATGGGATGGGGGGTAGGGGGGATGGGAAGGATGTTGGGAGCATTGGAGGTGGGGAATGGGCACTGGTAGAGGGATGGGTACTCGATCATTGTATAACTGAAACTCAAGCACGATAGTTTGTACGTCTACAACCTCATGGTGTTTCACTCATAAAAATTAAAAAAAAAAAAGAAGGCAGGTTAAATGAATAATTTGACAGAATGGTTTAAAGTTAACGTGATAACAATTGCCCACGTTATCACGTTAACTGTCCGAGACTCCACGTGTACCAGGCGCATCGCCCACACACCCACCCTCAACTGCTGGGCGTGGCCCCTTCTGAGAGAAACAGATAATTTTCCTTACTAATTACAGCCTTCCATTCTGTATATTTTTGTTCTAAGCTTAGAAAAATAGGGACTGGAGAAAGCACAGCAGGTAGGGCGCTTGCCTTGCACGTGGCTGAACTGGATTCTGTCCCCGACACCCACTATGGTCCCCCGAGCCCCACCAGGAGTGAGCCCTGAGTGCAGAGCCAGGAGTTAGCCAGGAGCACCGCCGGAGTGTGTGCCCAGACACCAAAAAAGAAAGGAAAATGCAGCTAATCTTTTTACAGAAAAAAATGAAAATTAAAGATAATTTTTGGAGACTTTAATAATTAAGATGCTTTTAAATATGGATGAAGAAAGGTTCTATTTATGCATAATGATACCTTAGAGCCCTAAAAAAATTGTATCGAAGAATCCTGAAATGAAAAGGGTCAGAAATTCATTTCACTCCCCTGTTAGATCAAGCATGTGTTTAAGCTGGCTTGCACAGAGGAGTGAAGTTACTTTATTGGTTAGAAGCAGTTTGGAATAAGGGATGGGGGAAGCCTAAGAGTTTTGCAGGGTGGAGTAGCCGGGTGGCGTCAGTTGAGGGGAAGTGGCCAGGGTGCGACTGTTCGGGTACCGGAACCAGGTGTCTGCAGTGACAGGAGAGCATCACTGTTGACGTGGGACCGTGATGCTCTGTCAGACCGAGCTCAGAGCGCCGACACCCCAGCAGGCACTCCGAGCTGCTCTGTTGGAAGAGATTCGTGCCCTGGTCTGGAGCGATAGCACAGCGTTTGTCTTGCGTGCAGCCAACCTGGCCGAGCCGGGTTCGATTCTTCCGCCCCTCTCGGAGAGCCCAGCAAGCTACCGGTGACTATTCCATATGCCAAACATAGTAACAACAAGTTTCAGAGTGGAGAAGTTACTGGGCCTGCTCGAGCAAATCGATGAACAACGGGAGGACAGTGACAGTGTCCCTTATGCGGTGGGAGGTGCTCACGGTGTCTGTTTCCTGCTAGATAAGACCATTCATGAAGGCACACCTGAATCGAGAAAAGGACAAAGAGCTCCTGAAACTAACACAGTACCTCAAGGAAATAGCCAAGTTAGACCACTTTTTGGACCTAAATCACAAGTACTGGGAGAGGTAAGTGCCAGCTGCTGGCTTCATCTTTAGGCGTTAATGAGCCAAAACTCTTGGGTTTTGACTTAACATGGGTGAATTCTGACTATTTTCGAATTCTGATACATCTTTCCTGAGACCATTTCCCTGTTCCATCTTTACCCGGGAGTTACTCTTCCTCCTTTCCATTGTGACCTCGGACTCACTGTGTCCCCTTTCATCTAAGCTCATTGGTGTTGAACCTGCATCTCTTTGGCCTTTCTCAGCGGAGGGGGCCTGAGAGTGTCGCATTAGGACAGCCGGCGACAGGTGTCACTGTTCCATAGACTATCTGGAACCATGGCGTGCACTCGCCTGCCGTGAGGAGTGGGCAGTGTTGATGTTTGTGACCTGTCGGGAGCAAGGAGACCCGAAAATGTGGCTCCGGTAGTAGAACGGGGCAGCTGCTTTGCCTTTGCTGCGTCCCCAACGTGACCCAGGCCGGGGTGGACTCCTGCCACGCCCATGCACGGAGACCAGGCGGGGAGGCAGGGAACGTGCTCCGGCGTCTTCCCGCTCAGACCTTCACAGCTTTGCGGGGGCGGGACGTATAGTGGGGAGGGCACTTGGCTTGCATGCCACTGACCCAGGTTTGATCCCGGCACTCCGTAGGGTCCCTGCAGCCCTGCTGGGAGTGATCTCTGAGCACAGACAGGTGGCTCAGAAAAAAGACAAAAGGATCTGTTTTGTGGGGGAGGCAGTGGTTGGGGCCACACCCACTACCCCAGCTCAGTGCTCAGGGACTGAGCACTCTCGGTAGTGCAGGGCATTGAGGCAGGATTGCCCACGCGCCAGGCCAGCACCTTAAGCCCTGTGCCATCTCTCCAGCCTGCCGAGGATCAGCAGTTCGGGGGGCTGTGTGGCAGGCACTTGTGGTGTGAATTTGGGGGCGGGGGGCAAGGCTCTCCGGCTCTGCAGGATGCAGTGTTCGGCCCCTCCCTCCCCGGAGTCTAGTCCGTCCTCATGAGACCGGCAGAACACACTTCCCTCGGGGCTAGACGCCCGTCCCGGAGCGTGGCCCAGCGGGCTTGCTCGGCCAATTCCCCTCTTGACTTCTTTCCTTTCTCATTCGGAGTCTTGCGTTGTGCCCGCTGTGTTTATCTGAGAAAAACAAGCTAGTAGCAGGGAGTCGAAGTTTATTTCTACTTCATAGACTCCCTGTGGCATTCGGAAGCAAGGCAGCACGCAGGCCCCGAGCCGTGTGTTTCTCCACCTTTTGCCCAGCGCCTGAGGAATCCGACTGCTCTTACAAGACCCCTTCCCAGGGTGCTGTGACGGCTTAATTAGTCACTTCTTGTATCCATGAAACGCTTACGGGCCGTGCCAGGAGCTCTCTCAATGAGCGGGTGCCCTGGTGATCTGCCAGGGCCGCTCGCCCTGGAACCTTTGCCCTTAAACGCCTGTCCTTGGGGAGGGGAGTGTCACCGTGAGGAGCACGACAGAGCCAAGATGTTTTTATTTGATCTCCTGCAGGTACCTCTCGAAGAAGCAAGGCCAGTAGTGACAGGTTACACCAGTTCTCACTGAAGACACTCGCCATCCAGGAACTTCTTGCTTTTCTGCTAGAAATCATTACGGTAGTGCTGGGCACTGAAGCAAAATATCAGACTGCTTATTACTTGGTCTTCCAGTTTTTTGGTAAATTTTATTTTATATTTTTTGAAGATCATAGCAATATGCAAAAAAAAAAATCTTTCTCCCTCTTCCCCATCTCAGCATACCGTTTAACTTTTGAAAACTGTTTTCTCCAGTGTTGAATACGGAGTCATCCTCACCCCCCCACCCCCCACTCCAACACGCAAAGTAGACCAAAAAAAATGACACTCAGCAGTGTCATTTTGTGAGTTTGGAAACAAGTTCCGTCTGTGTTTTTGTCTCACTGTGTTGTTTTCTGACAAGATCTAAGACCCATTTCAAAATTGCTACTTTAACCTTTAAAAAAAAAGTTTGGGGTGCCATAGCAATAGTACAGCGGGTTGGGGACTTGACTTCCAAGTGGCTGACTTGGGTTCGGTCCCTGGCGTGTCGTATGAGCACCCTAAGCCCCGCCAGGAGTGATCCCTGAGTGCAGAGCCAGGAGTCAACCCTGAGCACCACCGGGTGTGGTGCCCTCCCCACCCCCCCACCCCCAAACAAAACAAACAAAAATTTTCGACTCAGAAACCTACATTTCGTAAGCTTACATCATCAAGAACCTTTTCCTTCATCTGAGGGACAGTTTCTCCTCTGTCCCGCGCTGCTGACAGCCCTGACTTAGAAGCTGTCTCCGTGTGGTCTGTGTGTGTCAGTGTTCTCAGAGTGAAACTGGCAGATGTCAGCTGTGATGCCAGCGCGTCCTAGTCTGCGAACTAGAAACCACCACACCGAAGCATAGAGGGAGCAACGAGGCTGCGTTTGTCTTGGCGGCTAAGGAGAAGCGTTTCTGCCGAGATCATTGTCTCCTTCAAAAGCAGTGAATGCCAACACATTTTTAAATGGTCTGTATTGCTGAATTAGCCCTGGGGTGGGGGGAAAAAAGCATGAAGAAGTTTTTGTTCTACTCTAGCTGTATCGTGTCTAAGTGCGAACGTTATTTCGGTGAAATCCCAAGCCGTAAGATGTTTGAAGACATTATTTGCAACGCTTAACGCCTGCAGATTCGTAACGTGACCACTGTTCTGTGTTGCTAGTTTTGCTTTCTACGGTTCTTGTATTTGAAAGGAACCTGATCCTTTCGAATAAACACGGTGTATATTGTTCTTATGGGACTATTTCAGTGGTGTAAATAATAAATACCTTTTCTTACAACACTCGGCCTGTGCTCTGTGTCAGCCTCGGCTGTGGAAGCCCAGCCCAGTGGGTGCAGGGCGACTCCAGTCCACGAGCGCCCAGTCAGGGTTGGCTCATTAGGACGCATTGGCTGGCTTCATTCTCACGCGCTCCATGTTCTCCAGAAGATAAACTGATAAACTGTGACAAGGCTGCACACTGTGGAAGGGTTGGAGAGCCTCTAGATAATTCGAGTGACCCAATTAAAATGTATTTCTTAATCATGAGACTACATTTGCATCTTTGAGATGGACTAGGAGATTGTAGAGGATCCAGTTCACCTCTTTAAAGGAAGTTTCCTGGGGCTGGAGTGATAGCACAGCGGGTAGGGTGTTGGCCGACCCAGGTTCGATTTCCAGCATCCTGTATGGTCCCCTGAGCACCACCAGGAGTGATTCCTGAGTGCAGAGCCAGGAGTAACCCCCCTGTGCATCACCCCGTGTGACCCAAAAAGCAAAATAAATAAACAAATGAAGGAAGCTTCCTGGGGCTGGAGTGATAGCACAGAGGGGAGGGCGTTTGCCTTGCACACGGCCGACCCGGGTTCGATTCCCAGCATCCCATAGGGTCCCCTGAGCACCGCCAGGAGTAATTCCTGAGTGCAGAGCCAGGAGTAACCCCTGTGCATTGCCGGGTATGACCAAAAAAGCCAAAAAAAAAAAAAAAAAGGAAGCTTCCTTGTTGGAGGGTTCCACCCGGCTCTGCTCAGGGCTTATTCCTGATTCTGTGTTCATGGGTCATTCTGGGTGGGGCCCTAGGGACCATCCTCCATCCAGGGGGCCCAGAGTGGAACCTGGGTCAGCAGTATGCAAGACAGGCGCCCTACCTGCTGTGCTCGCCAGGTGGCCCACAGCGACAGACTGGGCGCAGAGGAGAGTGGGGCGGGGGTGAGGGGTGGGCATGTGGCACCGGGGGTCTCACTGGGCCTCACTGCTACTAGGCATGTGCGGTATCCCTTGGGCTGGCTATGTCCTCCACACTGGCTTGACCCTTTTAAGGAAGCGGAAGGCTTAAAACAATTTAAACAGATACAATTTTGTAAAAAGCAGATTTGTCTAAATTGCTGTAATCTGAAACCCCCACATGAGCAAGCATCTGCAAGTGAAGTAGGCTTTGGGGGAACTGTATTTTGCCATTAGGTGGAGCCCAAGCCAACGTTTATTAGTCACAACACTAAATTAAGCAATTTTGGAGAAATGTCCCTGTCAGCTGACTGAGATCACGCGTGGTTGTGTGAATAATACTCCCAGAGTGGGAGTTTATTTTTTTTTTTATTTTATTACTATTTTTTGCTTTGGGGCTATATCCAGTGGTACTCAGAGGCTGTTATTGGACCAGAGGCAAGTGCTATACCTGCCATCCAGCCTCTTGGGATAGGGTGGGAGGTGTGGAAGGGCAACATCTGGTGGTGCTCAGGGGTAACTGAGTCTCAGCACTCAGGAATCACTCCTGGCAGTGCTCAGGGGACTATATGAGGTTCCCAGGATCAAACTGGGGCTGGCTATGTGCACAGCAAACTCCTTACCCACTGTACTATCTGTCCAGCCCCTCTCTATTGCTTTGTTTTTAAATGATAGTTGATTGCCCGGGCTGGAGCTATAGCACAGATGGTAGGGCGTTTGCCTTCTACGCAGCAGACCTGGATTCAATTCCTCTGGTCCTTTCGGAGAGCCCGGCAAGTACCCAGAGTAGCACTGTAGCACTGTCCTCCCGTTGTTCATCGATTTGCTTGAGCGGTCCCAGTAACGTCTCCATTTTGAGACTTGTTGTTACTGTGTTTGGCATATCGAATACATCACGGGGAGCTTGCCGGGCTCTGCTGTGTGGGCGAGATACTCTCAGTAGCTTGCTGGACTCTCCGAGAGGGGCGGAAGAACCGAACCCAGCTTGCTTGGGCTGGCTGCGCGCAAGGCAAACGTACTACCACTGTGCAATTCTCCAGCCCCAGTGCCCAGAGTAATAATAAAAATGTGACTAATGAATAAACTGAGGGTTTGTCTCAAAGAACAAATGGTTAGTTTTTTCTAAACTCAACATCAAAAGCCACTAAATCTTGTTAGCTGGGTTAATAACCTAAGAAGTATCACTTAGGTATTTATGTATGAATATCCTGGTGTGGGGCTGGAGTGATAGCACAGCAGGGAGGGCGTTTGCCTTGCACGCGGCCGACCCGAGTTCATACCAGCATCCTGTATGGTCCCCTGAGCATCGCCAGGAGTACTTCCTGAGTGCCAAGCCAGGAGTAACCCCTGTGCATCACCAGGTGTGACCCAAAAAGCAAAAAAAAAAAGATAAGAAAAGAAAATCCTGATGTTTGGAAGTACTTTGGAGAAGCTGTGTGGATTGTCAAGGGAGGTGTGATACCATATATCATGTAGGTCTAGAAACATGTCAACTTTCATCCAATCAGTGATGTTCTATCTAGAATCTAGAAATGTTAAGGTCAGCCACACTAATCATTGTTTTAAAACTCTTTGGTTGTTTTTTTGTTTTGTTTTTTGTGATTTTTTTTTTCTCTCTGCTTTTTGGGTCACACCCGGTGATGCTCAGGGGTTACTCCTGGTTCTGCACTCAAGAATTACTCCTGGCACTTAATGCAGAACCCAGCAGCTTGGAGCAGAAAAGTGAACAGACTATGCGTTAATCCAGGCCATCATGTCTGCCCGGAGGGGAAAGGGTGTAGCCCCATTCGCCCTCTCCTCTCTGGAAAGAAAGGTGGCGGCCGCATGGGAGCCTTGTGGACAGCAGGTATGAGCCGGGGGTGTGGGGGCAACTAAAACCTCATGGGAAGGGGGGCGTTTCGGTCCGCCCTTCATGCCCTACCGAGGTCACTAGTTGCCCCCCACGAGCGGCTCTCCGGCACGGCCACGACTCCAGAGCACAAACCAATTTCTTAATTATCTGACTTTCAGTAGAAATACTTCCAGGGTCAATAAGTAAAATAGCAGAAATCCAAAACCAACATTTAATTCTTGAACCCAGCTGTAGAAAGCAAATCACTTCACAATGCTTTTTCAGCATGTCTGATTTGGGCGGGGGGTAAACTCTAAATAATAGTGGTGAATCTTTTATTGAAACAATGAATCTAATCAAAGCAGATAGAGTGCTAACTAGAATTCATCTGCCTCACAGGGACTGGGAGGGGTGGGGGGTGGGGTTTTATTGGGGTTCTTCGTGGTAAAAAATAAGTATTGGTAAAGGGAAATGTGTTTGATATTTGCATGACTGAGACCTAAACCTGAAAGCTTTGTAACTTTTCCCACATTGATTCAATAAATAAATAAATTTAAACAAAACAAAAAAAAGAATTACTCCTGGCAGTGCTCGGGGGACCCTATGAGATGCTGGGAATCAAACCCGGGTTGGCCGTGTGCAAAGCAAATGCCCTACCCACTGTGCTATCGCTCCAGCCCCATCTTTAAAACTCTTTGGAAGAAAGAACTCTTCCATGTAGAGCAGTTCCTGATTAAGACATTGATTTCTAACTGAAAAGTTTTACGAGTTGAATCTATGATTTGTAAGGCCATAAAGTCCTTGGAGCCAGAGAGCTGGTACAGCAGGGAGGGTACTTGCCTTTCAGGCGGCCAACCCAGGGTCTACCCCCAGCATCCTCCAGGTTCCCCCAAACCCTTCAGAGAGACCCCTGAGCACAGAGCCAGGAGTCAGCCCTAAGCACGGTGCTGGTTGTGGCCCCAAAACAGAGCAAAACAAAAATGCAGACCTTAAGAAGTCTCAAAATTCATTTATTTATGTAACCACCCAAGTGGTTACAACTACAATAAACACAAATTATACTGTGTAGAATTGGTGTTACTCACTGCCAAACCCATGACTTCAGTAATCCGTCACTGTCACTGTATCACTGTCCTCCCGTTTCATCGATTTGCTCAAGCGGGCTCAGTAACGTTGTGAGACTTGTTACTGTGTTTGGTATATCGAATAGGTCACGGGGAGCTTGCCAGGCTCTGCCGTGTGGGCGAGATACTCTCGGTAGCTTGCCGGGCTCTCCGAGAGGGGCGGAGGAATCGAACTCGGGTCAGCCCTGTTGGCTGCGTGCAAGGCAAATGCCCTACCTGCTGTGCTATTGCTCCAGCCCTCAGTAATCCATAGACGTTATTATTAAAATGAGATAAGCGAGCCAGGTCAAAGGTCGAGGCTGTTGGGCAGTGTTTTCCTCAGGGGAAAGTTTGGTTTTTAAGTGACAATCCCTAAAAAAGCCAAGTTTGCCTTCCAGTCACTTTCCTTGTATGTATCCGAGACATAAAACAAAAATAGCTGCAGTTTCTGATTTTATTTAGGTACATGAATATTCATAGTAGCAGTGCTCACGATAGCCAAACAATATGACGTTGAACCCAAAATGCCCATCAACCAGTGAAGGATAAACAAAATGTCATCAGTTTGTCGCTGCGGTGGAACATTCAACAATGCAGAGAATGAAGTGCACCAACACGTGTAATGACGAGGCCTTGCTCCATCATGCTCAGTGATAGGAAGTTAGCAAGGCCTGCATCTTGTATGAATCCGTTTATGAGACAACCGTGGGATAGGCAATCCACCCGGGCATGGAGTTGAGATGTAGTTGCCTAAGGCTTGAGGTGTGGGGGGTGGAGGGCGTGGAAGATCGGCATGGGGGTAGGGGGTGATAGTTCACAGATGTAGGCATTCCTTCGGGAGTACTGACAGCAGCCTCAATTGTGGTGATGCATGTACAACTGAACTGTGTGCTTTGAACCACCCACTCTAGTCGTATGTCAATCGTACTCATTATTACTATAAAAAAAAAGCAAAAAAACTAAGTAGGGGCTGGAGAGATAGCACAGTGGGTAGGACGTTTGCCTGGTACGCGGCTGACCCGGGTTTGATTCCCAGCAGCCCATATGGTCCCCTGAGCACAGCCAGGAGTAACTCCTGAGTGCAGAGCCAAGGGTAACCCCTGTGCATCGCCGAGTGTGACCCAAAAAGAAAAAAAAAACCAAAA